AGACAGTGGGGATACCTCTGTGGTCAAAACAAGAGGAAGATCTTATTTTTGTACAACTCATATTTTGGGAGTGACATATGAAAGGAAGAGATAGATCTTATTTTCATTTATTTTTTTAAAATTGACATATAGTAGATGAATATATTTATGGGACCCAATGTTATGTTTTGATACATTTGTGTGTTACATAATGATCAAATCAAGGTAGGGGTAAGTAACATATCTATCTCATCAAACATTTATCATTTCCTTGTGGTGAGCCATTCAAAATCTTCTCTTCTAGACCCAGAACATCAAAAGCAATCCTAGGAAACAAAGAAAGGCAGGAGGTATCATAATCCCTAACCTGAAATTATACTATAAAGCTACTGTGATAAGATCAGCAGGTACTGGCATAGATACAGACCTGAAGATCATTTGAACAGATTAGAAGATGCAGACACAATTACAAACACCCAGCCACATTATCTGTGATAAGGGGGCCAAACAGGCTCACTGGAAGGAAGATAGCCTCTTTAATAAATGGTGCTGGAAAAACTGGCTTTTCATATGCCAGAGGCTAAAACTAGATTCATGCCTATCACCATGCACAAAGCTGCAATCAAAATGGATCAAACATTTAAATGCTAACAAATAGAAACACTAAATCTTCTAGAGGAAAATGTAGGTAGAAATCTTGAAGACATAGAGGCTGGTAGAGAGTTCATGAGCAAAAACCAGACTACACAGGAAATATTTCAAAGATCCACACATAGGGTCTTATCTTCTTGAAAAATTTCTGCACTTCAAAGCAAATCTCCAGCAGAGTAAAAAGAAAACCAACAAACTGGGGAAAAATTACAGCTAACTGTCTCTCAGACAAACACCTTCTATCCAGAACAAAATATACACTTGTCAGAGGAATAAATACAAATGGCAAGTAAATACATGAAAAGTACATACACTTGTCAGAGGAATAAATACAAATGGCAAGTAAATACATGAAAAATGTCCAACATCATTGGTCATTCAAGAAATGCAAATTAAAACAACACTGAGATTCCATGTCACCCCAGAAAGAATGGCTAACCTCAAGAAGTCAGCCAGTAACAAATGCTGGAGAGGCTATGAAGAAAAAGGTACCCTTCTGCACTGTTGGTTAGAGTGAAGACTTGTACAACCACTATGGAAATCAGTGTGGAGATTCCTTCAAAAGCCAGGATTGAAGATCCCATTCAAGCCTGCTATTCCTCTCCTGGATATTTTTCCTAAGAACTGAAAACCTCATACCACAGCGATATATGTGCACCCATGTTTATAGTAGTGCAATTTGTTACAGCTAAATCCTGGAAACAACCCAAATGCCCAACAACTGAAAAATAGATAAGAAAGATATGGTATTTTTACACAGTGGAGTATTATTCAGCTATAAAACAGGATACATTTGAGTCTTTTTTTGGTTAATGGATGCAACTATAGAATATACTCTTAAGTGAAATAAATCAGACCCATATGTGCAAACATTGTATTGTCTCCTTAGTGTGAGAACCTGAAAGAGAAAAATGGAATCCGAAGGGTACAGTAGACACTGGTAAAATGGAACCTGGAGGGTACAATAGACACTGATAAAAGGGAATGAACTTATTCAAAAGGAGAGTGACTGAGTTGAAGAGAAGGACAAGAGAGGGAGTGGGAGTAAGAGATTTATGTAAGCAGGATGGTTTGTACAACAGTACTGTGCATTTCTGCTGGTCTATAGAAAGAAACAGTTAATGCTTTGTATCTTCTTTTTTTCAGTTGTTTCTCCTTTCTATCTTCTTAATTTCTTATACATTTCTTCTTCCAATTTTACATGCACATATCTGGTAATATGAATAACTGGTCGAAAGACAACACTATATTTCAACAAATACTGTGAATTAATATTTTGTTAAGTTAAATTCTGTATCACTTGCAATTTTTTGCTTTAATTCTTATTTGTACTCTCTTTAAAAAATTAAAAAAAAAAA